TTTTTTTTTACAGACGTATTTGTAGCATTACTCTACTTTCCTATATGTGCTGTTTTTGAATTCCATCCAATCGATTTTAACTCTGATCTTTGGATTGCATGTTGACTTCAACAACTTAACATTTTGGCAATGCCTAAAATGCTGATTAATGTCCTACCGTGCTACAGGGGCAGCAGTCTCTTCCTCAGAGCTGTCAGGCCATTCTGGAGGAGGAATTAGTGTGTCTTGTAGTAACAAGGGCTGGTCATCCGGCTCTAGTCCAGCTGAGCTTAGAGAGGAAGGCTCATCCTCCGCTCCCAAAACCTCCTCTAGGTCTTGAAATAACACAATTATATCATTAAACATTGATTGTATTATTTTTCTTTCCCTTACTCTGATATTTGTTTGCAAAATGGTGACAGCAGAAACTTTAGATCAAATATATACATATAGATCAATTCATTTGTAGGAATATGCTACCTTGTTTTTCTGTATTACAATACAGAGTATTTCATTATTATTAGAGGTGGAAAGTATTATCAAATTAAACTTCATGTTTTTATTTTTTGTGCATTTTATTCCTTATGTTATGATCAAATTAATGTAAAATTAATAACTTAAGATATACATAAATTGATTTAGATTCGTTTGTGCCGTTTAAGCATGCATAAAATCAAACAAGAAATTTACCTGTATATACTTCAAGAATAGCACTGCATGTTACTGTTCCAAACTGATTTGATGCTGTGCATTTAAATATTCCAGAATCTTCTGGATACGCCTCTGTGATCACGAGGGTGCACAATTCCTCTATAATAAAACAAAGAAGGGTTAAAAGCCTAATATTTGACAAATATGTTTGTTTATCTGTCAAAACAAGAATAATTCCAATCCCTTCATGCACCTTTCTTTGAGATAAATGTGTACTCACCAGGAACAGAAGCTGAACTTGCCTCTGACAAGGACAAAAATACAGTAAGAAGCAATTTTAGTTTATTGGTTTGTAATGAAACTAGCAAGATGGTCTTGTTAATTTTATTGTTTTTAAAGGAAAAGTTCACACTAAAATAAAATGTCTTGAAAATCCACAACTATATGCTGTTTTTAAATTTTTTTGCACATTCTGTTTCCTGGTTAAAAATAGCGCATAGATGTCAATGATGCCAAACATCAGGTTTTTTTGCTATTTTGAATTCTGAATGCAAAAGAAACAACTTCAGTTTTGATCAAAGCTATCGTATGGGTTCAGAAGACATGGTACATAACGCACGTGTAATATGGACTACAGAGAACGTGTAAAATAATGCTGTAATCAGTCTGAGTTGTGTCCAGCTCTCACTCACTCTTTCTAAGGATCCGGAAGTCTGCCGAGTCGATGATCTGCTCGTTCTCTCTGAACCAGGAGATCTGCAGCGGAGGAGTTCCTCTGATCCTGCACTCCAGGACCACCAGCTGCCCCTTCACTGTACTCACGTCATGAAGACACTGAAGACACACCAATAACAGCTCACAGCATGTCAAATCACAACCTGATACTGATCCAGTCAATAAAGGTATACAGTATGCTATTATTGCATTACCTTGACAAAAGTTGGAGACACTCCGGGATTCCCTGAACCCTGGTTTGTGTTCTGAACCTGAACAAAAACACAGATCAGCAATGTGTGTTTAGGCTGGAAGTAGCATACACATAACTCACTGTGCTTCACACTGTAACCGATTTTTGTAATTTGAACAGTATTTTACTGTAATATGTACAGTA